GGTTGTGGGGCGCGTGGTTGAAGGGTGTGTGGTTGTGGGGCGCGTGGTTGAAGGGTGTGTGGTTGTGGGGTGAGTGGTTGAAGGTTGCGTGCTTGATGGCTGTGTGGTTGATGGTTGTGTGCTTGACGGCTCCGTGGTTGATGGTTGTGTGCTCGATGGCTGCGTGGTGGATGGTTGGGTGGTTGCTGGTTCCGTGGTTGACGGGGCCGTTGTTGATGGCTGTGTGCTTGAAGCTTGCGTCGTGGAGGGTTCAGTGGTGGAAGGTTCTGTTGTCGACGGTTGTGTGCTCGATGGTTGCGTGGTGGATGGTTGGGTAGTTGCTGGTTCCGTTGTTGATGGTTGTGTGCTTGAAGCTTGTGTCGTGGAGGGTTCAGTGGTGGAAGGTTCTGTGGTTGATGGTTGCGTGGTTGATGGTTGTGTGCTCGATGGCTGCGTTGTGGATGGTTGGGTGGTTGCTGGTTCCGTGGTAGACGGCGCCGTTGTTGATGGTTGTGTGCTTGAAGCTTGTGTCGTGGAGGGTTCAGTGGTGGAAGGCTCTGTGGTTGATGGCTGTGTGCTTGATGGTTGTGTGGTGGATGGTTGGGTGGTTGCTGGTTCCGTGGTTGATGGTTGGGTGCTTGCTGGTTCCGTGGTAGACGGCGCCGTTGTTGACGGTTGCGTGCTTGATGGTTGCGTGGTGGATGGTTGGGTGCTTGCTGGTTCCGTGGTGGATGGTTGGGTACTGGATGGTTCCGTGGTTGATGGTTGGGTGGTTGCTGGTTCCGTGGTTGACGGGGCTGTTGTTGATGGTTGGGTGCTTGATGGTTCCGTTGTTGATGGTTGTGTGGTTGCTGGTTCCGTGGTTGACGGGGCCGTTGTTGATGGTTGGGTGCTTGATGGTTGTGTGGTGGATGGTTGGGTGCTTGCTGGTTCTGTAGTTGATGGCTGCGTGCTCGATGGCTGCGTGGTAGAAGGTTCCGTGGTGGACGGTTGCGTGCTTGACGGTTGCGTGGTGGACGGCTGGGTGGTTGATGGTTCCGTGCTTGATGGCTCAGTGGTTGATGGTTCCGTGGTTGAGGGTTGTGTGCTCGATGGTTGCGTTGTTGATGGTTGAGTGCTTGCCGGTTCCGTTGTGGATGGTTCGGTGGTTGATGGCTGTGTGCTCGATGGCTGCGTGGTGGAAGGCTCCGTCGTGGAAGGTTCCGTGGTTGATGGCTCCGTTGTTGAGGGTTGCGTGCTTGAGGGTTGCGTCGTGGAAGGTGCCGTGGTGGATGGCTCCGTCGTTGAAGGCTGTGTGCTTGCTGGTTCCGTGGTAGATGGTTGTGTAGTTGATGGTTGCGTGCTTGATGGTTCCGTCGTGGACGGTTGAGTGGTTGATGGTTGTGTGCTCGATGGCTGCGTGGTGGATGGTTGGGTGGTTGCTGGTTCCGTGGTTGATGGCTCCGTTGTGGATGGTTGTGTGCTTGAAGCTTGCGTCGTGGAAGGTTCAGTGGTGGAAGGTTCTGTGGTTGATGGTTGTGTGCTCGATGGCTGCGTGGTGGATGGTTGGGTAGTTGCTGGTTCTGTGGTGGATGGTTGGGTGCTTGCTGGTTCCGTGGTAGACGGCGCCGTTGTTGACGGTTGCGTGCTTGATGGTTGCGTGGTGGATGGTTGGGTGCTTGCCGGTTCCGTGGTTGACGGTTCCGTGGTTGACGGTGCTGTGGTTGATGGTTGCGTTGTGGATGGTTCCGTAGTTGAAGGCTGCGTAGTGGATGGTTCCGTAGTTGAAGGCTGCGTAGTGGATGGTTGCGTAGTTGATGGTTGTGTGCTTGCTGGTTGTGTGGTTGATGGTTGTGTGGTTGAAGGTTCCGTGCTTGATGGTTGCGTGGTGGACGGTTCAGTGGTTGATGGTTCGGTGGTTGATGGCTGCGTAGATGATGATTGCGTAGTTGATGGCTCTGTCGTGGCCGGCTCTGTAGTGGACGGCTGCGTACTTGATGACTGCGTACTTCCTTGAGTAGTAGCAGGCTCAGTGGTAGATGGCTGTGTGGATTGCGAAGTGGTAGGTGCGGCTGTTGTTGTGCTGGTGGAACATGCGCTGCAGCAGAATGCCACGTAACCCCTCTGGCATAGGAACCGTCGCAGAGCAGCCTCTAGATCGCTCTGTGGGAGTTCTGAATTTTCTTGGATAAATTCAGTGATGTTGTCGAGGAGGTTTGGGCTTTCGCGGATAACGGGATATCTTGCGTCAAGGCCAGGGAAAATCGACAGAATGTACTGCAAATCAGCCTCTCTGTGGGCCCCAACTCTAGTGGCAGACATAGCATTGGAGTCCTGTGCCGAGAGAAGGGCTATGCCTGCAAAAGAACACCAGAGATTAGTTGTCAAGTTATTTACAGTTTGCTTAGAGCAAATCACATGGTCAAAGAAGTTGAACAAAACGTACCGACGAAAATCGTGGCTGAGCACATCCGAAGGGAGGAAAGGATCGCCATTTTCGGTTGACAAGAGGAATAAAGACAAAGTTGAAGTAGTTTTCCGGAATACTTCACGGGAAAACTGGTGATTTCAGCTCGGCTTGGAGGCGTGGAGCCACAGAAGGCTCCTTGTACGTGGTAATGCTAAGGATGATAATGCGACATATGTCCACAAGCCGATCAACAAGACAAAAGGGGGAAATAATAAATTACTTGTTTAGAAATGACAGGGCGCCAAGGTTAACGTGACGTCAATCTAAGTTGCGCAACAGGTGGGAGTGCGCGTGACGCCAATGGACCGCTGTCCGACCAGAGCTCCGGGGAAGCGAGTGGAGTAACTGACACCTTGAGTACCTGAAATTACCTTGACGCAATTTTAGGTACCAAGTGAGGATTCTGCAAAATATGTTTTTGTGACTCACAGTCAGTTTTGAAAACCCCTCACCTGTCATGACACCGCACCGTGAGGCAACCTCGAGAACTCCTGACATTTCTGTTCGCGTTGCAGATCCAAATGAACTGACAAGTCGCCTTCAGTTAAGAACGTAACAAAAACATGAATTCTTAAAATGTAAAGAATCATGCGTATTCTGCAATGGAAACGTGGTCATAATGGATTCGTAATGCGTAATATCCTGCGGATGCGACGATGCAAGACGCGCACAGGTAACCTTCTGGCGCGGACTCCAAACATCTTGTTGAAGCGAACGCTAACATTCGCAGAAACGATCCTTACGCACGAAACGCATAAAAATACATCTAGAACGTGAATAGTTATCTGCCAAAAATGGAGTTGCTCCTTGAACACGCACGTTTCAAGCAGCGTACTCGCCGGACACACAAGTGCAAGTGACCCCGGACGCATTTCAAAACGCCGTAGTAGGCCTCTAAGTGTGGAATCGACTCTTTACTTTGGAACAATGTAACTTTATGGCTGGGCGTTCAACCTGAGTTCTGCATGAAATACAAAATGATAAACTGTCGACCCCTACGGAGCGTAACCCGTAAGAACAACGGAAACTTGCAAATCCAAGTTCCAGTTTTGCAGCAGCTGCTAGGCTGCCTCCATACATTAAATGGAAAACGAAGGCGTTGAAGCCAAAAAACAGTTATGAACTGTGTGTGAATGTCAAAACTTGTATTTGCATGTTTACCTACCGACGGTAGGTAAATATCTGCGAAACGTAGGCGACTGGTCATTTCCAGAGGAAAGTATGCACTAGGAATTCAATGAAACGATCTACGTCTGCAAATGTGCTCAAATATCCCAAAGATACTCGAACGGATCCGAGTGCCTTTGAATGCATTCGTGGCCCACTTCCCATCCACTCAAGTCGTGGAGTAGGTTGAATCACAGCACCGCTAGGGTCTGAGCAGCTTTCCCTTGCGCGGGTTGCATTGACGATGTCTGCGCCCGTCAGCCCGAGGAAATCCTAAGCATAAAGAACCATGAAAAAAAAAAAATTGCCGATGGGAAGTGCTCCTGTAGCTGCAAATGTGCTTCCAGTTGATTGCAGTGGTTTAAGGAGGTACCTTGAAAAGGCATGATTTACCTGGCAGCCTCCAGGGTTGCAGAAGCAACCTGTGCGAAGATGAATGCCCGCAGCAGCCGTTTTGGCCTCAACCTGGACAGTCCCACATTGCAGAGGGGTTGTGCATGAGCAGCGCTTTCTCGTGAGTCCAGCATGCCGATCCAATCCTACCGAGCAGTAGCCACGCGCTGTACGGCGTTGTTTGCTGCCTTACCTCTCCAAACGGGATGAACGAACCATCAGGTTTCAGTAAGTTAAAGTTTACGATCCCCCCTGCACGCCCAGCACCCAAACTGCGCCATGTGGCCTCGTGCGCCTGGTGCCACTGTCCAGAGGCTCCATCAAGTGAATTCAGCACCTCCGATTATGCAGTAATTGAAGTTTTTCTATTTTGTCAGATTTGATGGAAATATATGTCAGATCCTAATCACGAGACGCGGCTAAGCAACTGATGCATGCGAGCAATCTGTGGATATATATTTTGTGTTTTCTTGCAGCTTCCGGTTCGTTGGGCTTAACAAGTCTGCCGTCAGTCCCACCTGAGGGCTCCTCGGCTCTAGCCCAGTAGAGCAAAGCAAAGTTGGCGCCATTGCGGTGTCTCAGAACCTTCAGTGAGCGGTAGAGGTGACGCGTGAGGGCCGCCACATGCCGCTCAATCTTCTCCATTCCTATCGCCTGATGCACCAGTCACAGCAGCAGCACTGAGCACAGCCAGGGAATTCTGTATACCGCATCATACCGAGACGCACGTCTCCTCTGTCCCATGCATTCACAAACGTAGGTGGGCAGATGTATGCATGCACAAACCCGAGATGAAAACATGGACACACCACCGATGCAAGCACGCATAGAGACCGCCTAAGAGTGCATATATGCTGTCCCGTGTGTGCTGCGGTGATTGATGATGAACCGCTGGGTATCTATGTGTGTTGTGTGTTTTTATTCTCTTTCCTGTAGCGCTTGAAATCCATATTTAAGAGCGGCGATGGAAAGA